CGACATTGCAATTTTGCAATAAATCTTATTCAATGGAAACGTGTCTCTCTACTATTAAAACTCATTTTAAAAATAACCGTGTAGAGAGAATCAATTAGATGTAAATTCTTACATTTTATCTAGCAATCTTTTTTAGGTTTTCCGTTCTTGGTTTTGCGCAATAACGTAGCGCAGCTATCTAGTTTAATAAATTGCTTGGGCTATCCGTGTATGAAGACAAGATTACTATTTATTAATTTATAAGTGAAAAGCTTTACATTTTGCTACTTATGAATATTTTGATAACACTATGTAGAACATGTACTAACTCTAATATAATGATAATGTATAAGAAAAATAATGAATATAATAAATAGGAAATATAGTAGATATGCGTGCTACACAAAAATGGTAAATGCCAATAGACAATTCTGTAATTAGCGTAACGATCTCGATTACGTGATATCGAAGCACTTGAAAACAAATCTGTTCTATTGAATCAGTCAGGTAACAGTCTTTATAAATAGTTACAATGACCAACTTAAAACATTTTTGGAATTTTTATAAATGTATTTTTTTAAATTCAAATTTCATATTCATAGTAAAAGTGCATCATCTAAATTTTTAATTAATAAAACAGATAATATTTATGAATTCTAAAATATTTTTTGTAAAATTGTATATTATTTGGCACCGAATCTCTTGACACTTTAATTATACATCATAGATCCAGATCCCAAACTTAAATTGTTTATTTTCTGCTTATTGTGAATATTGCTATCAAAAACTTATTCATATCACTAGATATATGTCTAGTAGAAATAAGTATATGAGATAAAATTGCATATAATATATTAGAGACTCCACCGCAAACACAATTTCTGAATTACGCTAAATCAAAGCTTACTTCGCATGACATGCATTAATTTATCTTAATCAAATATCCACAGCTCTTTCTATGAATCTACAAAATATTGACTCTTCACTCTGTCGGCATATTTTACAAAAATTTTTATAAGGCTCATCTTTTTTCCATTCGAAATAACTGTTATATAATGTTTGATTATTAGCAACTTCATAAATATACTTAGCAAGGTCTTCTACGTTTTTAAAATCAGTTACTTTTATTATTGAATGTGGTGGAACATAATCATCTATATCAGATGCTCCCATGTATATGGGGATAGAATCAACTCTAAAGGGATCATAAACTTTTTCAGTAACATAACCTTCACAATCTGAATTCTCGAAAGCGAGAGTAAATTTGTAACGAAGAAGTGTATCCAACTTTACTTCATACATATGGCTTGCCCAATAAGCTGTAGCTCCTTCTTTAATACCATACTTGTTTCTAATATCATCAGGTATTTCCTGGTTATGAAGACATCCACCAAATGAATGAACTGTAATATATTTCATTAATTCTTTTGCATATTCATTCCGATTGTTTGCAGGTTTACAATTACCAGCCATCCATGCAATAAGAACATCGGATTTTTTTTGATCCAATGGTATATGAGTTTTATAAAAATTAGTAATCATATCATTAGTTATTTCATATGTCGGATGGAATATATCAAAGATTTTTGCGGGTGCACCCATGGTTATATCGAATAGACTGCGAAAACTCTCGAGGCCGATAAACCAATAATAACCTAGACCTTCATCTGGAAATCGAAACCACCAAGATTGTCCAGCCTTACGTGGAGGCATTTGTATAGTCGAATAATATGGTGGATCATCTATATGGAAAAGGAATGGGTAATCAAAATATATTACATCTGCATCTCGCCATTGCGTGTAATTAGAATTTATACGGTATTTTACTCCATTTGCGCAGGTGC